GCAGCGTGCACATCAGCAGCAGCTCCTTTCGGTGAGCAATCACCATGCCAAATGTGCCCACTGAGCCTTCTCTGTTCTCTGAGATCTGCTCAGCTATGTTATTTCAGAAGTCAAAACCAGCACTTGTTAGTTCTGGGTGCTTACAGGAAGATTTCTATCTTAGCTTGGGGAAAACTGAAATATGCCTCTGCTGCTAATTTTGCATATGAAGGGAGCCGAAATAGGACCCAGACAGGCTGTTCCCATTTTACACCTTCAGCCAAATCTGCCTGGCCCATTTGCATGTGCTCCCAAAGCATGTGGCCAGCACATCAACCTTTGCCTGCTCTTTGATGTTCAGAGGTGCATCTCATGCTGCCAAAAATCCTCCTCACTCAGCCAGCTATCCAGCCAGCAGGAGACGTGTGGTCTTCTGAGGGCTGTGGAAAGACATCCAAGCTGGGTTCCCTGGCCATCCCCTGAGCAGGTCCTGCCAAGGTTCAGGATATCACTCAAAGGGGAAGGTTTGACTCTTTGCAGTCCAAAGCAAGATTAAGCTGAGGTCCCAAGGCATTATCTGTATTTCTCTGTGGAAATTTCCTGCTTGAGACAAACAGTTGGCAGCTATGCACCAAAAGGATGTCATCAGCATCTAGCAGTGATGTTCCCTTTCAAATGTCTGGCTATCAGCTTTAAGTACAATAAGCTTTACATACAGCTTGGAACACTGTTACTGTCTAAATGAAACAGGTTTTTTTAGAGTACAGGCATCGTATTTTCAGCTGTGCATGGACAAGGAGCCACCTACAGAGGGTGCATGGTGATGGTGGGGCTGAAGAAGAGCATGTCCTTGGAGCTGCCTGCATGAGCAGGGTCCCTGTGGGCAGGGCAGATTTGGGATCCCATTTGGAAGAAGGGGCTGATTGATGCTGAGAACAGTGCAGGGAGTTGGTACCAGGCCCTGTTGCCACCAGCTGTCCTGTGAGAGGAGGAGGAGGGTGGCCTCAAGGACCAGACAGAGTCTTTGCTTTATGCTACTCTCAGAGGCAGAGCAGATCCAGCATCCAGCCTTCACCCCTGGCCTTAATCTGCAGCATGTGCTGGGGACATCAATGGCACTGCTGCTCCAGCTGGGAGCCCTCGGGTAGGGTCTCGATGCCTCAGGCAGCAAAGTGCCACCGGCAGCAGTGAGACACAGCCTGTCTGGAGAGGGGGTGGCAGCCGTGTTTGTGTTGGCAAAACCAGCTGCCAGTGGCAGCAGGCCCAGGGAGCACAAGAGGCTGGGGCTGGAAGGGCCCCTGTGCCGAGGAAGAGATCAATGGGACTTGGAGTTTTAACATTGCAGGGTGACGGTTCCTGCCAAGAGCCTTCCACAATAAAACCAGCAAATCAATCCTCCACTGAGTAACTCCAGATGAGGGCTGCTGGCCTAGTAAGTCTGATCAACAGTTTGCTGCTCCTTTAGCAGTGGCTTAAGGAAAAATAACAAAATAAAATTATACTTTTCTGCACATCAGAGAATCCTCTTTCTGTCCTCAGTTAAAAGGTGTCATAACACACTCTGGGTCGACACTTGGCACAGAAGAGGAGGGCAAAAAAAAGGACAAAGAAATTATAATTTACAAGAAACCCAGCAACAGTTAAGGCAGTTCTAGATTACCAACCCTAACCAGGGCCTTGGGCACTTTAGGATTGGGGCTTTTCAGGACTGGTGCTGGTCACACACCAATGTCTCCACTGCTGGGAGCAGACCCAGGATGTTGACTGGTGCCATCAGGGCTCAGGTTTGTCCATCTGAGATCCAGAGAATTTTGTCCCATTTCCCCATCCAGCAGACTCATTCCAGCATCTTGATCAGGAAGAGGGATTTTTGGGTAGTAGTAGGGTTGCTCCTAAGGCTTGATCTCTTTTGGGAAGACCTTTATCACATCAGTATCTGACATGGCTGATATAAGATAAACCATAAAGTCAGCTTTCATAATGGATTTGTCCATAGCAATGGGGAATGGGGATTACTTTATTATTAAATAAAAAATGCACAGTACTTTATACATAAGGAGAAACAGAAAAACTGGGTCCAGGGATTTTGGTGGAGACCGCAGTTCACAACAGTCATTAACTGGTGGTGTTCTGGAGTGTCCAGTCAGATCTACTGCGGTCACTGGAGTTAAATTAACTTAAACCAGGCAAGTAAACAGCCCTCAATGAAACCCAGGGGACAGTGAGTGCATTATTCAGAGCTTGGCTGTCCATGCTGGGACAGTCAGTGTCCCCGTGGTCCCTGAGCCAACCTGGGGCAGCGTGTATAGTGGTTTCCCTCCTAGATGTGCTCCTCAGGCTGGCTGACAGCATCTCTGGGATGTCCTGGCAGGACAGAGCAGCTGTCAAGAGTTGTTTGGAGCCCTCACTGCTTCCTCTGCCCTCTGGAGCTGTCTGCCCACATTCACAGGAAGATTTATGGCAATGTTTTCCTCTCTCATGGCTGAGCTTAAGTGGCCAAGGGACTGATGCAGGAACATGATCCCTCAGAGCTGAAAGCAGAAAGCTGCAATGGGACTTACCTTTCAGTGGAGAATATACCTGTGGATGGAGAATGACATAGCAAAGCAGAAGGCTGCTCTGTCTGTCTGATGAAAACCAGTATCAGATTTTTCAGAGCCCCACTCTGCTCCCCCACTGAAATGTGCCTCTGGGCAAGGGATCCCTGGTCAGGGACAGTTAAAAATTAGTTTGGTTTTTTTTTTTCCCCTGTTTGGAACAGAGTTCCATCTATGGTGGCCCATATTAGTACATCTCTCACTCACCAAAGCTAGCACAGACCTGGCTGTCTGGCGCCAGGAGAGGAGATGGAGGCTGTAAGATCCACATCTGGCCCAGCAGGTAAGGGGATAAAACAACCACAAAAGATTAAAGCTGGCAGGAAAAGACTGCATCCATGGCTGCTCTGTGGCAATGCCATGGATTGAGGGAAAAGTCCCTGCGTGTGCACTGGCTGTTGAGGTCACCAAGGCAGCTTCCCCAGCACCCTGGGTACCTGCACTCCTCAAGGCCCACGCACATCTAGTTTCAAAGCTTATCTGTAGTCAGTTTTACACTGTAAAGTGTCTTTGTTTAGTCAACAGAACCACTAATACATGTGATTTTGTTGTTAATAGAGCTTTAAGAATTTTAAGTACCTCTTGGGAATGTGTCATTTTTGGTTGGCTTTTTCAGGCATCACAGGGCGCTACGTTTGTCTTTGTAAACAAGTGCTGAATAAAACATTTAGCACACAGCCGCACTTTGTACAAGTGTCATGCAGGTTTCTAAAGTTTCAGAAAGAATAAATCAACTGCAAACTGCTGCCTGGCAGTTGACTTCACTCCTTATAAATAGCTAATTTGGACAACTTCGCTCTGCACGTCCCATGAAATTCAAATACTGTGTATATGGTTAATGCAGGCACACAAATCAGAGCTGCAGCAGCCCCTTTTATCAGCCTGGGTTGCTACAGAAATGCCACGGCGAGGGGCAGATCGGCTCCAGGTTGCCCTCCCTTTCTCCTGGAGGTGATCCCGGGGAACACCAGCAGGTCATTGTGCTCTGCTGCCTGGCCCCAGGGGAGGGGCAGGAGCCCCATGGTGACCCAGTTCACTGCCGGTTGTACTGGTTGGCAGCCATCATTGCTCATTGCTCAGGGGAGAATTAGGTCCAAACTCAGCCATGAAAAACAACCCTGGATTCATAAACCCAGTGGAAAAAGTAAGGGCTGACTCTGGCTTTGCAGCTCTCGGCACTGGGCATGGGGTGGATGCACGCCCTTCCCTCCTACCCAGGCACAGTGCTGCTGATCCAGCCTTGCAGAGCCTCCATGTGGGATGCAAACTCACCTGATCCTCCCAGGAGGCTCTTAGCAACACACAGGATCCATCCAAGCTACTCCAAAACTCAGCCCAGAGGCCCTAATCCTGGAAGGTGCTGAGCAACTCAGACTTCTGCCACTCACCTCTGAATTTTGGCACGTGTTCAGCACAAGCAGGATCAGTCCCTTGCTGTAATAATCAGGGAATGAAGAACTCAGCTTGACCGAGTTTCCCTCCCACACCCCAACGCAAAAATGCTGTACATTCCTTTATGCAGGTTTCCATAGAAATATTTTTTTGTTGTTGCTGTTAAAGGGGTCAGCAATGCACTGTACAATGGGATCTAGCTGTCAGGAAATATGGAGGAATTCAGGGACACTTTTAACATCTTCCTGGTGTGACTGGAAGGCAGCATGAAACTTAGCATCATGGAAATCTCCCAACCAAAGAGAAGAAAAAAGTCCGGAAGAGCCCCACTAGAAGTTATGAAGACATTCTGCTTTGTTGATCCTAAGTTTAAATAAGTTATTTCTTCCCTACTTCCTTTGTTAAAATATGATATTCTGGCTTTAATTACTTCAATCCTATTATTTGTTCCTTTTAGCAAGTGATTGTGTAGCCCCTTGCTGTGGGGAAATCCCCTGACTGCGGGTCCGTGTTACTTAGACAAGTCCCCTTTCAGAAGTAAATGCCATTCTTAGCATAGGGAAGTACTTTAGGTCTAAAGGGGTTAAGAAGGCCTCCCTGCATTCAGAAACATGCAGGGGTCCCACCATGCCAGTTCCAGCCTTTTGAACTCTTTCCAGCTTTTTTTTCTTGCAACAAATCTGTCTGACTGCCACCAGGACATAGGAAGCGTGTGCCTGTCAAAGAAATCAAGTTTACTTTTTCTGACTTGTTAACAGAGGCAGGGTATAAATAGAGCTAACTCTGCTCGCACAAGTAGTGTTTCTCTTAAAATAAGGGGGTGACTTCCTAAGACCTTTAATCCAATGAGGTCCAGACCAAACTGCACTATCGACAGAGGCAGCAGAGGAGCTTGCTGAAGTTTTTACCGAAGTCAGGTGCATCTGGGTTCCTCAAAAACTTAAGGCTTACCAAAAAAAAAAAAAAAAAGAAGCAACCCCAAGAGAACAAGAACTGCTTCAAGCTCGGACACTGCCCTGGAGAAGTTCTGAGATGTTGTTGGTACTGTTCACTCGGTGGATGTGGATCTTGCTGGGGAAGAGCACTGTCCTCTTGCTTCTGGAGGTGTCTCTGAAAGGGAGAGCCCTACCTCCAATCCGGTACTCCCACGCTGGGATATGCCCCAATGACATGAACCCCAACCTGTGGGTCGACGCGCAGAGCACCTGCAAGAGGGAGTGCGATGCTGACCTGGTGAGTGATGCACATTTTTGTGTCCCTGCACCACGGGTGCTGCTGGAGCTCTTGGGGGGGTTTGGTGGGAGCCTTCTGTCCCAGCTGGAAGGGTGCTGGCACCAGGCAGAACCCAAAGCAGACAGCACATGTGTTGAACTGACCTGTGACTGATGTAACATAGAAAAGGTTTGGTGGGTTATCATTTAAGAGGGGAGGTGTGTGTCAGCTCTCATTTTTGCTGGTGTGGGTATAGCACTCACTCTGATCCTTTTCCTTGTTTTCATGTCAGAAGAAATGTCTGAATTTGATACTCCAGAACTCAGCATGCCCTGAGGCCAATCCGTAGTATTTTAACAGTGTCATCTTGCTCTTTGTTGTTGGTGGCCATCATCAATGTTTTATATTCCCGGGAGGAATCCTGTATGAAATAGTTTAATTTAACATACAAATCAACCTTTGCTGCATTTGAAGTGCAAAGCTTGCTCGGGGTGCAGAATAGGGCATGGCTGAAATGACCAGACAGATGTTCTGTGGGATGCTCCCAGCTCAAAATGTGTTTAGCTTACCACCCTAAAATTCATTTTTCAACTTGTCAGCACTGCCAGCTCAGGCTGGCATCTGAAAATACCTGCTTGTCCTACCTCTTACATCATGTCCCGTGACAGAGTTTCTGCAGCCCAAACCTGGCTGACAGGAACATTTACTGTGCTGAAAAAAAGTGTTTGGGCTTGTGTTCTGTAGCCAGGTTGTTTCTGCAATGCTAAAAAGGGGGGAAAAAAAGACAAAAATTCTGGCCATAAGTAAACAAAGACATTTACTCAGATGGATCCCATGTGTTAGGAATGAAGGCGCTCTTTTTACTTTTGCCATTTCCAAATAAGCTGCCTCTGTTCCAGCTACCAGGTGCAGCAATGAACACTAAAACACTTTCAAAACCCCAGCAGCAGCAGCAGCAGCAGCAGACAATGATGTTTTAATAATTTACTGGCCAAAACCTGAAAGCCAAAAGCCACTGGCTACAAAAATTCCTTTTGCCTAGTGGCAGCACAGAGTCCTGGGGCTTTGGATGGAGTGAGTGTACTGCAGGCAACCAAGGACTCTGCCAAGCCACACTCCTTAACCCCAGCTGAAAACCTCCCCAATCCTGGTTTCTAGCTTTGCTTCTGAAACATAGTAATGTGCAGCTGGAAATGGGGAAAGAGTTTTTGTATTAGGTCACCTTTTTCCCAATAAGGAAAGGATATGGGACTCCGGAGAAGCTCTTTAGTGTGGTAGCTTAAAAACCATTTTGTTCTCACTTAGGGAAAAAGCTGATGGATTTTAGGGGGCTTGTAGAGGTTTAACACATGGTGGAAGTATACCCTGTTGGCCACATGGTAGCTGTTTTCCTGGTCCCTTGAAATAATCCATAACCACCCAGAAACCCTGATCACATGTATCAAATACCTTTTCTGCACAGAAGATGAAAATTCTGCTAAAATTAACCACAATTTAGAGCTGACTATAGCCGAGGCGGGGTGTAATAAATCACTAGTAGAGTGATGCTGCATTTGAAAATAGGACTAAAATAGGACAGAGAAGCCATAATGAGCTGTTTGGGGTTTGTTTTTCTAAATACCATAGAAAAACTATTTGGAGCAAGTATTACCTTGAGATATTCTATTTCCTCTACAATGTGAACAATTACAAATCCTTGGCAGTTTCACCTCCAAGAGCCGGCTGTTAGTCTCAGGGAATTCAAATAATACTTTACATACTTGTGTGGAAAATAAGAAGGATTACTGCCTACAGCCATATGATAAGACTTTCCATCTGCTCTTGTTTCTCAGGGCTTGTCCACAGGCATTTCAGAGAGCATGGAAGGGGGGTGGTTGGTTCATAGTCAAGCAGTCCATGTGACTCTGGGGTAAAGACTTACGAGGAGGTTTAGGAAACAATTACATTTTCCTTCCCAAGAGTCTTCTCCTTCAGCACTTCAGAACCCCCTGGGAAATGCTGAGGGGATGTTCCTACTCACTGACAGCAGGGGCACTGAGTTTCAGATCACAGATATCTGTGGCAGAGCTGAGTTTCTGGGCTCTCTGCTTGCTGAGTCTCCAAAAAGGCCTTTACTCTGTTCCCAGTAATGATCAGGTTATTTTCCTTCCCCACAGGAGTGCGAGACCTTTGAGAAGTGCTGCCCCAATGTCTGTGGAACCAAGAGCTGTGTGGCCGCTCGTTACATGGACATCAAGGGGAAAAAGGGGCCTGTGGGGATGCCCAAAGAGGCAACTTGTGACCGCTTCATGTGCATCCAGCAAGGCTCAGAGTGCGACATCTGGGACGGGCAGCCCGTCTGCAAGTGCAAGGACAGGTGTGAGAAGGAACCGAGCTTCACCTGTGCCTCTGATGGGCTCACCTACTACAACAAGTGCTACATGGATGCAGAGGCCTGTATCAAAGGCATTACACTGAACGTGGTCACCTGTAGGTACCATCTCACCTGGCCAAACACCAGCCCTATCCCCCCAGAAACAACAGCTCGCCCTACCACCGCCTACTCCGAGACAACAGTCATTGATATCTTGCCACCTGTGCTGGTGAACAACCCCGTCCAGCAGTCCGTCTATGTAGGAGAGACTGTCAGCTTCCTCTGCGATGTCACAGGGAGACCCAAGCCAGAAATCACATGGGAGAAGCAGGTGGATGGGAAGGACAAAGTCATCATGAAGCCAAACCACGTCAGAGGGAACGTGGTGGTCACCAACATCGCCCAGCTGGTCATCTACAACACGCAGCTGCAGGATGCAGGAATCTACACCTGCACTGCCCAGAACAGCGGTGGCCTCCTCCAGGTGGATTTCCCTTTGTCAGTCATCAGAGGAGAGCCCACATCCAAGGAAGCTTCCCAGAACAAAACACATTTTCCCACCGATGAGTGCCTGAAGCAGCCAGACAGTGAAGACTGTGGGGAAGAGCAGACCAGGTGGTACTATGATGCCAAGAAAAACAACTGCTTTACTTTCATCTATGGGAACTGCAACAGCAACCTCAACCACTTTGAGACCTATGAGCGTTGCATGCTAACGTGCATGAACGGCCCCATCAACACCTGCAACCTGCCAGCCCTTCAAGGCCACTGCAAGGCCTATGAGCCCCGGTGGGCCTACAACAGCTTGACAAAGCAGTGCCAGTCCTTCATCTATGGCGGGTGTGGAGGCAATGAGAACAACTTTGAGAGCCGGGAGGCCTGCGAGGAGATGTGCCCCTTTCCGAAGAACACGCACTGCAAGGCCTGCAAACCCCGCCAGAAGCTGGTGACCAGCTTCTGCAAAAGTGACTTTGTCATCTTGGGCCGCATTACGGAGCTGACCGAAGACCAGGACTCGGGACACGCCCTGGTGACGGTGGAGGAGATTCTCAAGGATGAAAAAATGGGATTAAAATTCCTGGGGAAGGAACCACTGGAAATCACACTTTTGAACATGGACTGGAGCTGCCCGTGTCCCAACATGACCACAGTGGATGGCCAGCTGATCATCATGGGGGATGTCCACAATGGCATGGCTGTCCTACAGCCAGACAGCTTCGTGGGCACCTCCAGCATCCGGCGCGTGCGCAAGCTCCGCGAAGTCATCCACAAGAAAACCTGTGAGCTTTTGAAAGAGTTCCTGGGATTGCATTAACCTCCCTCATATGTGTGAGCTGCCCTGATCCATGTGTTAGTAGGGCTAACAAGTGCTAGGCTAGAGCCAAACTAAACACACTGTTTAGGAGGAAGGAAGATACACTGTAGGAGTTACGCAGAACCCCTATTTTAATCCATTAATGATGCTTAGCAACAACATAGTTTGGTCTTTGGCAGGCATGTAAACCAGCAGCAAAAGGCCATTAATCTTGCATTGAAATCAATTTGTCCATATAGGAGTGCCATTTAACTAGGTGACTCACTTCAGTAATTATACAATTTTTATCTAGCTTCCATCATAAATGACAGAATTCATAGCATTTGTTTGGCTAGTTGGTACACAGCTAAGAAATACGTAATGTCAATTTAATGTCTCATTTTCAGTCAGGTTTGTCATCGTAAGTCACACACGGCTCCTTATAGCAGCACTAATATTTCAAGAGAAAAGCCTGTAAATTATTGTCTATATTTACAATTGTGTGCATTTAACCAACCTATGCATTATGAGTTTGCTTCTTTTAATTGCAATTTTCCTTTTTTTTTCCTTTTAAAAACCTCATTTTTAAATGGCAACTACTACCTATCTTGCAATCCTTACTGGAGGAGAAACTCCCTTGATTCTGTGCCCAGGACAACAGGTCCCTATAAAAGCTCAAGGCACAGTCTCACCCTGAAATGACATTTCTGTCACCACAATAAGGTCAGCAAACACCCTCGTTCCCTATTTAAGTTTCAATCAATATATTGTCTATCACAAAAAGTCCAAACCAGGACAGCAGTGTGCTGCCAGCTGTCTTGCTTTTGAAAAGCCTTTACACCTGAGTATACACAGCGATTTATTGCTTATTTTCAGTATCAATCATGCTTCTATAGATGAGAGAGCAAAGTAACAGGAGTCAGAACAAAATTCAGCCTAGGAAAGTGAGATACACAATCTGCAAACTGCATTAAGCAGACACAAAGCTCCTGAATCTGAACTGCACAAACACAAGCAGACAAAGTGGACACTTTAAAGGTTTTTATCAGTGTCACCCTTTTAGAGCCTTTTTAGAGTCTTTCAAACCTCAGAATACACTTTCCACCAGGCCACTGTATATAGGTGTATGAATGAATTCCCTAAGACAGCCAGCACAGGCTGTGGGTGGGAGCAGGTGAATACACATAGGATAAATAATTTTAACATTTGTGTGTCCAAAAAATGTAACATTTGCCTATAAAAAAATCCTTAAATAAAGAAAAGGCTGATCCTGGAAACATCCTGCCGTGCTGAGGACTGTGATTGCAGGGAAGAGGGGTGAACGTGGCACAGTGAGCCTTGTCACTGCTCCTTGTTCTGTGGGCTCAGCCAAGTGACTGTGGCAGAGCTCAGAGCTTGCTGCCCTGCACAAAGGGCCTGTTCAGGGCTGGAGCAGTGTCAAGACATGTCTGGGTGAGAAGGAAAGGAGGAAGGGAGGCAGGAAGGTGCAGGCAGTGCTGCCCCATGGTGCCATCTAACGGGCTTGCTGCGGGGCAGCCGAGGCTGGCAGTGGGAACACCTATGTCTCTGCAGGCCTGTGGCAAGGGCTGGGGAAAGAGATTAAACAGGCAGATGTTGGATATCTGCACCCCCCCCAAAGCCTGTGCATGTTGAGTGTTTGGTAATTGCAGGGAGGAAAACTCACAGCGAGAGAAACAGCATCGGATGCGAGTCCAGCTCTGCTTCCCCTGATTCCACACTCTGCACCAGCAGCCAAGCCATGGGTAGAGACCACTGCAGGATGGAGAACTGGGCTCCTGTCCCAGTGGTTTGGGCTTGGGTTATTTCTGAAATGTTCCTGCAACTGGAATGGATCTAAATCTCCAGTTATTTGGATAATTTCACAAGAAGCTGTGTGGGAGGGAGAGAGAGGAGTCTGGACCAAGCTTTGCTGACCAAGAAAATACCTGCTGGGTTTTTCATTGTACCTTTCCTAAGTGTATGTGATAAAACCTCCAATTAAAGGCCCATAATGTTTGCATATGTTCTTGTGGAGACCATTTTCTGCAGATGGGAGATGCTGGCCCTACTGCCCTCTGAAACAGCTGGCATCTCCATCCCTGGCTGTGGCAGCCACCACTGACCTATGGCTCATCTGCCATTTTTTGAGCAACCTGTAGGAAGTGGCATGTTCTTACAATACTAACGGAAAGCTTTTGGAGGATGGAGGTTTGATAAACAGAGGGTTTGTATGCCTCCCCTTTCCCTAAAGTTAGGGGATTTTGCAAGTGTGAGATTGTTGAAGTAACTCAGGAGTGTTGGAATGACTTGGGACAGGTGGAGCTGGTTGTTCAGAAGAGTTGGGATGCAAACATAGCTGGCTGGAGCAGAAAGTAGAGGATTCATTGCTTCTCCAGCCAGCACAGTGCAGTGCTGTAGCCTTGGCTCTAAAGTGCTTTCTTGGCTTTCCCTTCTGGTGAATCCCTTGGGAAGGCAGCAGGCACTTAAAACATGCAGCATGCAGTGCAAGTGCTCTGAGGCACTGAGAGACAGGGCTGTGCAAGGTGTAAAGTGTCTGCCACCCCCCTTGGGGCACTCAGGCCTGCTATTAGAGGGGTTTTCTGCACAGGGGATCCCAGGGGACACTCTGGGTCAGTTTTCACAGTGGTGAAGTGAGATGGACACTGAACAGACCAGTCCAGCTCCCTAACACAGCACAGCCACTCTCGTGTAGCTCCTGCCCAAAGCTGCAGACATGACCAGGTCCTGTGACCCCTCGGGCTCTGCCCCTGGCTATGCCACACTGCACAGAACCATCACAGGTACCCTGAGGCAGAAGGAGCAGGCATCCCTCACCTGCTCACCAGGAAAAAAAACATTCCTGGCAGTTCTGTGAGCACCACACCTCCCCATGGCATGGGACTGACCCCAACCCAAGCCTCTCCACCTTCTGACCTTGAGGAATTCAGGTCTCCATTCAAAGCTAGATTAGTTCAGCCTCTTATTAGATCCTTAAGAAGCCTAAAATTTGAGTCTGACCAGCCCAGCAGCCCAGGTATGCTGCTGCATGGGACCAGTGCTGGACGATGTTGCTCCACCTTTCAGGACTAATGGGCACATGCATGTGGCTTCTCACCAAGAGGTCCCTTTTGTGTTGCTCATGAGCTCAGGTTCCATCCTGCCCTGTGGGGTCCTTCTCTCAGGCTGTCAGAAAGCTGGAAGGAAATGCCAGTATTTAAAGTTATATAAAATTTATGAGAAGAGAGAGGGAAAGGGAAAAGCCTCCTTGAGTGCTTTCCCTGCAGGGCTGTGGGCTCAGAAGGAGCACCAGTACCTGCACGAGGCTCCAGGGAAGAGCTGGGGTATTGATGCCACCTCCAAAGCCACATGGCTGTGGCCAGTGGCTGATGTCAAAGCTTTCCTCCACATGCAGACAGGAGGGAAACAGCATTCCCCACAGACACTGGCTCAGGAAGCAACACAGAATCATAGAATCACTAAGGTTGGAAAATACCTCCTAAAATCATTGAGTCCAACTGAGAAGCTGAGAACAGACCTACACTGGCTGGGTCTGAGACCTGCAGGAGCTCCCCAGGGCTCAGGGAATGGATCTAATGGATACTTGACAGCCCAGTGTGAGGTGCCCACCTCCCTCACTCCCAACCTGGAGTGAGGATGAGAAATGTAACCCCCAAATCTACAAACCCTGCAGCTGGACAGACACCACCCAGCAGCTGGATCTCAACAGGAATCACGGCTGGTTGTGTCTCACTCCGTTAACAGGGGACAAACAGCAGCAGCAGCAGCAAAGTGATGGTGTGTGGCTGCTGCACACAGATTGTGTGTGGCACTGGTGCCACACAAGGCTGGTGCCACACAAGGCTGGTGTCACACAAGGCTGGTGTCACACAAGGCTGGTGCCACACAGCTGGCAGGGCACGAGGAGCTGCACACAAGGAGAGCTGGCTGGCTGATTACTCAGAGACAGATTCTGCATCACCCACAGCACTCAGAGCTGCTGAGCTCAAAGGAAAGAGGCAGTTGAGCATGTTTTCATTGCAGGGGCTCCAGATGAGATCAGGCAGAAGATTTAATGGGCAACCAGTTCCAGAACAAGGAGCAAACAGTAGTGATGATGCCACTGGAATATGATTCAGACAGCAAAGGTATTTAAGAGCTCAGTTTCCACTTGTTTTAAAAGAAATTAGGGACCCCTGCAAGAATTCCCCCCTGGCCATGGGTCTCAGTTCCTGAGGGAGGTGGTTGTGATGAAGGTCATACATGGCTTCAGCCAACACCTAATGATTTCCTGCAAATGACGATTAATTCAGCTGTCACCAAATGAGCACCTTGAGCCACAGGACCTACTTCCTCCACCTGAAGCACCTTGTGCCACGTTTGGCTGTAATTTGTGCATGTGCCAGGAAATTCTCCCTGTGGATAATTACCAGGAAAAGATCATGGCCAAGCTGGTACCTCCAGTGAGGCTGGATGGAGCCAGATTTTAAAGGCACAGCTGTGAAAATGTCAGCCTGAGCAAGAACATCCAGTTTAGAGCCTGTTCTAATACCGAGTATTTAGTGGTTTCCCCTCTGCCAGGACTGGTTACTGATTGACTACAAGTGACCTCCAGTTGCTGTATTGATTTACAGCAGCTGTCAAAGGGCAAAAAACTAGCCCCATGCCCAAGACCTGAGAACCTCTGAATGGAGATTGCACAACTGAAAGAATGTTCTGCCAGCACTTTAAATCTTGGAAAGAAAAAGTTAGCTTGAGGTCCTGATCTCCAAGACAAACAGCAATAAAATTTGAATATAAGGCTGCAGCATTAGAGGACATATCTATTAGCCAAAAAAGCAGCACAAGTCTGTTTAATTCTCAGCTATTTATGGCTAGGCAAACGATACATTTAGGCCTCAGAGTTTAGAAAGCAAATGAGAAGTCTTCCAGGGGCTGATGGGTGGGTCAGGTTTCAGCAAGGAAACTCTCTAACTCTGGTATTTTTCTCTGTGCCCATCCCTACATCTGCCTTTCTTCCCATCCAACTGTCCCTGGTGCCCAGCCAAAAGGTGTTGGGGGTCTCCTCCAAACCCCTGGCTTTGGTGGACACAGACCTGCATGTGCCAAGGACCAGCTCTAACAAAGACAAGGAGAGTTGAATGTCCACATTTCGGAATTTTAGGAACACTTGGGGTGGGGAGCTGGGGCCTCCCCAGACCCCTGGTACTGTTCCCTGGAGGAGAAGGCTGGAGACAAGATAAAGAGGGAAAGATTCCTCCAGAGGAGGGAGGGGAGCACATTTTCACCTTAAACTGGTCTTGCAACATGACGGTTGGTGTGGATCACCTGGAATGAAAAGAACTGTCATAAAGGGCTTTGTGCCTTCTCTTTCTCCTTTGCTCTGCTTCTCACACCCCTGAGCCAAGTGGAGACTGTAACATGTGTAAAGGACATTGCTTCCTCTACTGCTTGAAATAAACAGGAAAACAACAGTAATAAATCTCCAGGATCAGATGGTTTTCACCCAAGGGTAA